TATATATATATATATATATATATACAGGATGTCCCTAAAGTTTTTGCCAATCGCTTTTGTATAGATAGAGCGGACTAAACTGAATCGAAAAGTCCTCTATTTATTTTGCAATTTTCACAATAGTTAACAAGATATTAATTATTAAAAATTGCCAAATATTAATCTTGAATAATTTTTTATTTAATGTTCATAATAATTAACTATCAAAGTTAGAAGACTTAATTATTAAATAATAAATATTATGCTCAAGAATAATTTAGAAGTATATGTTTTTATTTAAAAAATATATATTTTATACAAAACTAGAAACTATTTTTGTACAAAACTCTAGTTTTAACTATTCAATTCTACTGTTACTATATGCTGTATACTTATTACAATGTTGTCACGCATTTATTACAAGATTTTTTCAGCATTTTTGTCACGCAAATAGCCACGTAACTTTTATACAATGAAGACACATATTGCATAACTTGTTGTTCTTCGATTTCTCCAATAATTTTAATTTTATTAATATATCAAAGTATCCAAAATTGCATTATATATATATGGATTTCAAGATGTTGCTAAACATTTCAATAAAATATTTGTAAATAGTTTCTAAAATATCAACATTTTTGTAATATTTAAGAAAGAAAAACATAAACATCATTTACATAAAGAAATTTAATTAGGAAACAAAATGTTATAAATTGTCATTATATATCGTTGTGATAAAATATATTTGTATACATGAGTTACAGCGAATTGCATTTTTGTTAATCGCCACACTAAAACCAGTTTGATTGCAAAAGATCGATGTGTGAAAGGCGGAAAATCGGGAATCTTTCTTTTCGCAAAATAATTCATTCAACTTTGCGATAGCGGCGTAAAATTATTCGCATAAAATTATATTGCACATTGCAATATATTGTTTCGCTGCTGTTATCTATGACGATCCTCATATATTATAGTATTACCAAGAATACATGTTGTATACTTCCGCAAGTACATATTATATCACCAACATAGTCGGTTACTTATCCAATTTTTCACGAATAGTAATTTATTATAATTAGACTGAAAAATATGATTGGAGTGAAAATTAGTTTTTCAAATCATTAAATCATTTAATAGATTTGTCATTGTCTTTTTTTTTAATACTAGAAATATATAAAATATACATATACACTAATATTTGTAGACATCGAATTATTAATGATTGAAGAAGGAAAACTTTATATTAGAAAAGACAAGAACTAAATGTTTCAAAAGAATAAACAGATAACAAAATTATATTGTTCGATTAACTTAAAATGAACTTTTCTTTCATCGAATTTTATTTTTCCTGTAAAAATATCTAATGCTAAAACGTGATAAGTAATGATCTTTTCCGTCATACGTGTTGCTAAGGAAATACTTATACATTCAAATTCATCATGAAAGAAATTAAAATTGTGTATCTTATTAAAATTGTGGTATCTATAATATAGATATATGGCATCATAAAATTGTCTATTTTGCTTAATAACATTTTGATATCTCGTCCCACATCACAGGCACTGCAATACGGAAGCGCGTGATGACCCATTGGAATATTCTACGTTAGGACAAATAAAGGCAAACGAGTCGACGGCGTTCGAATATAAAATTATCTGCGGGAATCATAACCGCATTTTTACTTGAAGTTATTGGTAATCCCCGCTTGCAGAGAAAAAAAAGTAAAATGACTACTAAATTGCCTGAGGTATAGTCCGCGCGACGAACGTTATATATTAACTAAAGCCTTCGCATATTTCGATGATTACATAGTAAACATATGAACGAAGTATACAGAACGTGGCATACAGGTGATTAATTCCGCCTATCAGAATGCAGGCTTCTCCATAAATAATACTGCTCCACGCCATATGCTTTTACGAGGAGAACTGATTTTCTTACGCTAATGTCGCGACGGTATAATCAATCCCAATGTCGCAGATTCTAAAGAAGAGAACTCGACAACGAATAATTAGGAAGAATCCAAGCCTAGATTTGATTGTGCATTTTCCACATAACACTTTATCTTCCGGTATGAGCGATGTTCGACGACTCGCTTGACAATTCGCAACGTTCGACGGATTTCTATCGTTGCAATTGTCTTATCATCATTCTATAAAGACAGAAAGAATTCAAACGTCATTGGCCGCAACATTGATACTGTCTCATATCTTAGCGTGAGCACGTGAGAGATGAATTGAATCACGCATCGCCTGCACACAGTCACACAATCGCAGTAGATAGATGGATACGCGCGGGAGGCCACACGATCGGTTATTATTTCACAGAGATATGGCTCGAAGGTAATTAATACTATTGTTATGATTCAGACAGGTACGTCATGTCCGTACTTTGACTAGGCGATCTTTCAGTCTTTGATCGAAGCTCTGCAGGTTCGCAACCGCTCCGTACGTGGAGTACGTGCAGGTATAGGCTGCACGTAACATGACCCACATGCATGTTTCGCCAACGCTTTGAATATACCCTACGTCTTGAGAGATAACAATAACGTGTCAGCACTTGTGGTCAGCGGATAGCGATATAACGACGTGATAGGCGCATGAATATAATGCACTTGACTATTGCGATAACGCGATAATAATGTATAAGTCGCCACGATGTCGGAAAGAATTTATAATCCAAACGATTATGTGATCGCATATAAAACTTTGTGCGAACAGTACTTGGAAGTGAATTGCCTGTGCAGTGTAATATACCTTGACATACCTGCCTTTAAGTATCCAATCGAATCGCTTAATATACATATATACCTCGTTCAAAAAGTGATAGTCACGAACGATGCGTCGAATGCGTAAACACTTGAAGAAATAGTCGTGGGATTTCCTTTATTATACAATACAATTCTACTGCCACGGGAAGAGCCGTATACGTATATAGTAAGATGAGCGCTTTCGTCGACAGCATCCAGAACGAGAAAACGCCGAGTGTTGTAGGTCATGCGAGATTAAATGAGAGTACCTCGCTCAGCGATATAGGAGAGGACGTGAGAGGTAGCAAATTTAATAAATCGACTCAGAGCGATATCTCGTGGAGGCTCCCTTGCGCTGGAGATCATAGACAGAGATCTAGGCCGATGTCCCTGGCATATTTGCCGACCAAGATTCCGAAACAGATGAGCGAATTAAGCTTCTCCACGCATAGCTCCAGAAGCATGTTATATCCTATTCAGAGCGAGTTGGTTTTATCATCGAGAAATAGGCACAATAACAATAGATACGTGTCTCTGGATATGAGATCAATCAATAACCTTCCGTATACTAATCCGCACTCCAACAGCTACATTTTAGGCAATAGTACACCAGCATACACGTGTTGCTGTACATGTGCAGGATCGCAGATCTCGTCGCCGCCGCCGGCACCGTTTTCACATGAAACTGACGGATCTGATCAGGATGGGCCCGAGAACCTCTCGTGGAGGAGACTTCACATGAGCAGAGCGAAACTAAAAGCAACTGCAACTACATCTGAACTTCTTAGTGGATTCGCAATGGTAAGCGTAATAGTAAGATTACATTACATTCATATTATACACATTACGTTAAAATGCAAGATTTTATCTTCTAGTATAAAATAAATGATTTTTACACATTTTTGCAAACTTCAAAATCAAATCTTCATAACAGTTTTTTTTATTTATTGCGTTAATAATAACTTCTGAATAGTCATCTCAGCCATATTGAATCGTGACGTCATGAGCGAGAAATAATGGTATAATGTTACTACGTTGACTTTTCTCGCATACCATTTGTAAATAAAGAGAATCTGGATGAAATGAAATGATGAAATCGCTTTAAAACACTTATAAAAATGGGCCGAGATTATCTTTATCTCCCCTGTGAAAGACAGTAAATAATCAAAAGAAAATAGACTACGCATAAGCGTATGATTAAGTAAAAACTGGTAGATACTTTATTATTTACTAACTTTCACAGGAAAATAAGGATATAGTTTCGGCCCATTTTTACAAATATTTTAAAGCGCTCTCAATATTTTGTTTCATCCAAATTCTCTCTATTTACTCTACTTTCTATTCTGGCATGCAAGAAAAGTCAACGTAGTATAATTTCTCGCTTAAGACGTCACGATTCAATATGGCTGATGTGAGTACTCAGGAATTTTAAATCAGAATATTTCAATTGTTGATTAGCATAGAAATAATAATAATAATATCGTAAATGTAAAATAATTTTGCTTTATGATTCTCATTATTTCACAGTGTTATTTAATATAATTATATTACAATAAAAATAACATAATGGCGCTTTAAAAAAAAATTCGCATTTTTGTTTTAACAAAAATTTAAATTTTGAAAGAATTAAATTAAACGTAAGATTAGGCGATAGAAAAATATTTACACTTTGATAAAATTTAAAATCATCGATCAGACAATTCAGTTTTGAGATATATATTATGCGATCAGTTCTGTACAAGTTTTAATATTTAACAAGTTTTTTTTATACCTATATTTATTCCAAGAATATCATATATTTTTCTTTATATGTATCTAAGATATTTTTTTCTTCCTCTTCTGATCTTTCTTGTTTCGATTCTGACTTTCTTAATCACATCATTTTTGTAGAGTCATTTAATTATCAACTTTGTTAATTTTGTGAATATCATCAAAATATTTTTAAAATATATTTTTTAGAAAAAAGAATTAAAATTGAAAAAAAATGCAAGAAGATAAATAAAGTTTAGGAAATTTTTTTAAATTGTACATAATAAAATTCCTTTTCTTTATTCTTGCAATTGCTATATTTTTATGATATAATTTTTTGTAAATATCTTTAGGATTTGTATTTATAAAGCAACGTAAAAAAATCTCAATCTCGTATTATATTAAATTGTATTAAAATTGACATATTTAATGTGATTTACATGAATTAAACAATAATGTAACAAAAATTAAATAAAATTTTACTTCAAATATAATATTTAAAAATGTGAATATTTATTAATTGTTTGTTAATCTATATCTAGTTTTTAAACACACATACACACATATGCGCGCGCGTACATTGTTTTTACTTCACTTCAAGCTCAGAGTTCAGAGTTTCTAAATATTTCTTATATTTATAAACATTCTTTTATTTATTAAAAATTTTTAATTTTAAATAAAATAAAATTAAGTGTATTTTATGTTGTGTTTTTCATGCAATTAATTTGATTCAATTAATGGTGGTTTAATTAACTTTCCTTATTTATATGTAACAAGCAATAAATATTTATGAATTATGATATTTTGAAAATCATTTAAATAAAACTGTTTTCCTAGAAATCTCTAACTCAGAGCGGGCTGTACGCGATTACACAACGTTTCCTGAAAATGGTTAAATTGACGTCGACGACAATTCTATGTAATCTTCATGCACATCTGTGGTTATATAAGGCAGATATCACTTTCTTTAATCCGCTTTACTTCTCGTGATTCATCTAATATCTTCTAACGTTGTAGACGATTGTAGCAAACCGTATGTATTTCACTATTTTTTTCTGGTATTTTAGGTGGCAATGGTGGAACTGCAAATAAATGAGCCGACGGCGGTTCCAGAATGGCTGTTTGTAATGTTTGCCGTTTGTACTACTTTCTTGGTATCGGTGCATATCTTTGCACTGATGATCAGCACGTATCTTTTACCCAATATCGAAGCCATAAGTAAGCTTCAAGTTTCACGACTCATAACGGAGTCACCTCACGAGAGGATGCGCGGTTTCATCGAATTGGCTTGGGCATTTTCCACAATACTTGGATTGTTTCTCTTTCTAGTAGAGGTGGCTATTCTCTGCTGGGTCAAGTTCTGGGACTATTCCTTTACCGCTGCCACTGCCAGCACCGTAATAGTCATTCCCGTGCTCATAGTATTCGTCGCTTTCGCTGTTCATTTTTATCACTCTTTGGTAGTTTATAAATGTGAAAGTGTGGTATCAGATATGAAGGATTTGGAAAGCATAAAAAGGAATTTGGACAATGTGACGATAGGGCAAACTAATGTATAAGTTCGAGACAATAATACAATCTGTAATATATTATGTGTACAAATGATTATCCTAAATGAAAAAGAATGCATTGAAGTTCGGCTGATAGATAAGAATATCGAATAATGCTTCTATCGGAGTATAAATTAATTTGTGGCAGACAGGAATACTCAGGTTTAAAATAGGTACTATTCTTCAATTTAAAACGTATCTTTAATGAGAATGACATAAAAAAAAAGAACACTATGTGTGGATTTGTTATCAATAACTTACTTTTCAAACGCGACCATATGAAAATGGCCAAGTTTTATTATATATAAAAATGTACATAGCTGTACACATGCAAGTCGAGAATTGCAACAGTACAAGCGAGTGCTCTTTAGTATATTACCTATATAATATTCAGCATTTAATAATATCTGTGTATATACGGTTTAACTCTTGATTTTTATTTAAACCTTCCTTGATCATTCTATTACTATCATATGTCATATGTTGCTAATATACATATATAGTATCTGTTATTACCGCGACACTTAGTTTGCGGAAAAACTGAAGGATAATTGAGTACTCATTTTATGTACACTTCCTGAAATTTACATAATTTTTCTAGTCAATAAATAAATCGTCAAAGTTTAGGATGTCCGGCGAAAAAGTTGGTTTCTTACTGTAATGTTAGGAAAAAAAATAAAGATATAATTAATGTATCTTTCGTTTTTACCATAAACTAAGTTGTAATCTTTTTATAAATGGTTTCTATAATATTATGACCTTAACTTCTTTTATATAATACAAAACACTCGATCGAAGGAATCGTTGTAAGCAAAACGAGGAAATATAATTACTTTAGTACAACAAAAGTATTATGTGATATCTGTTATTATAAATTACAAATTGTATTGCACTAATCTATGTCCGAAAACTTGAACGTTTTCTTAAAGATACATGCTACATCGTATTGAAAATTCATTGCATTCGATTATTTTTGCTTAATAAGCAAAATTTCAAATTTATGGAGTCAATACAATAAGATCTGCGTAATATATTACGCAGATCTTATTGTAAAATTTGTTTCTTGAGAACCATTATCGTATGTACATTGGAAGAGAAAAAAATCAAAACCTATATTACAAAATATAAATGTCATGTTGTAATACGTAACTTGATAGAAAAAAAAAAATACTGTTGAGAGATAAATTGATGATTTGAGCATTAGCCATTATTGAAAACTACTTTTTAAGAAATTATATTCTAAATTGATTAAAATCAATTTTACAAACGTATCTTTTTAGTGAAATAAGTGGAAGTAATTAAAATATATTTTATTACTTATTTTACTGATTTGTTAATTATTATAAAGTATAAAAAAATGATTCGATTGATGTATATGTAACAATGAAGAATAAACTGCTTGTGCTATGGACAGGTAAAACAATGAAGAATGAGATAATATTCAAAACAATTATTCCAAAAAAATAATAAGATGATATCAGAAATATCTTCTTTTTAAAGGATAAAATTCAAATTCTGTTTTTCTGTTTTTAACTTTACTTCAAAATATCAAATAATTCACATATCTTCTCTTTATTATATTTTTTATCGATAAAAAATATTTTTAAAAAACTTGTAATGATAAAATAATGTTTAATCCGAATGTTAAATCCGAAGAATCGTTAATTATGAACTATTGTTCTGACATATGTAATTTAATAATTTTTCGCTGATATAAAAAATAATCGCTGATATAAAAAATGATATAAAAAATGAGTCAGGCAATCGTTAAATATATGATTATGAGTTTTATGTAACTTATTATTATAAGAAATAGTATGAGAGCAGTTGTAATTCCATCTTTCTTACACACACACACGCACGCACGCACGCACGCACGCACGCACACACACACACACGCGCGCACACACACACACACACGCACACACACACACACGCACACACACACACACACACACACACACACAGTATATTATTCTATCAGAATATATTATGTTATTTTTCATTAATCTCTATGATATTATAATTGATCTAAGAGAATGATAGAATAGAAAAACTTGTTTATCTCTTTCAGAAGAGTCACTTAATAAATTGGCTTTCGTCATATTAGCTTCAGTCTTGTCCTTAAATAAACATATCAAGTCTTTCTGACAGCCTATCCATAGCAAGAGCTTGTTTAGAAAGTTTTTATTTAAACAAACCTTCCTTAATTAACTTTAACAACGCAGTTTCGCGCCTTTTTCTTCTACTTAAACGTGGAGAATGACAATAAACTCTACTTTCGAAATAGACTTATTAACAAACAAATAGCAAAACAAAACGTAATATCGAAAAGCGTGCCATTAATTATTGCAAATCGCAAAACTTTGTGCCCCCTTAAAAATTTATGAAAATGATAATAAATATATACAATTATTTTTAGTATTACTACTCTGCTCAGCGTTAAACCAACTTTAAAACAAAGTCACAACCTACACGTATATGTGTATTGGATTCTTATCTAAATATTTAAACAGTTTATAAATCATCCTATTCATAGCTACACATTCGCAAGTAATTCGATTCTGGTTGAGTATAGACAGTATAATGAATCAAAATAGTATTCTGTGATGAATCTTTTTAATCATTTGTAATTGAATGTTGGAAATAATATTAGTTCTCTATGTTGATTAAAAATAAATATTTAGAGAATATATTATTTCTTACAAAGACTCTACAGTATAAGTAAAAGATATTTCTTTGTTCGTTAAATAAACCATATGATACATAGAGTTTTTAACTATTATTTAGTTCGAAATGACGATAATTATCGATTGCGATTATCTACTGTGCACAATGTCTATCCATATACTCAACATCAAGTTAAGACACAAAAAGAATGCCAATACACACATACACACACACACGCGCGCGCGCGCGCGTGTGTGTGTGTGTGTGTTATTTGGCATTCTTAAAATATTCTCAGAGATCTCCTCGTCCTCTATTATTTCGGTAAAAAGTTTTTTGCACTGCTAACATTACATTCGTGACATTATTTTACATTTAAATTATTTATGCGGTATGTATTTTTATACATATATTTTTAAATCACAAATAATCATATTGATCCTTAGATCTGATTTATTCTCTGTATGTCATACTGATTTTTAAAAGAATGCGAATGAATTGCGCACATGCATATATGTGTAGAAAAAATTACTTACATTAAATGACGTTGATGAAAATAACTATGAAATTATATGAGGATGAATTTCATGCAAGAATCTTGTCTCCCATACAACATAATATACAAAGACCCATGACTCTTGTCAAATGTCCATATATTTAGATCCATGACTCTTGTCAAACGTCCATATGTGTAGAAGGTTGTTGAGATATGAATGGTTCACTCCACATTCGACGTAAATCTCCCTGAAAGTAAATAATTAATACACATAATCTTATGTATTTTTGTACATCATTTTGTGACATATATACATTTATTCATAAAATAAAATATTGCTAAGGATCTAATTTTTCATAATTGTGATAAAATCCGACATAATTTTTAAATTATTTTTTAGCGTAATTAAATTTACGAATATTACATATAATGTTTCAGATTACACACACACACACACACACACACACACATTCATTTATATATAAACTTTGTTGATCGATATAGAGAATCAATTTTTCTTAAGAAAAAAAGAGTATATATCTTTCATAAACTTCCACAATTTGTTTAACATTAAATAAATATCTTTATATAATTAATTCTTAAATCATAACTATAATAAAATATTGTTTTGCAATTAACAAAAAATATATTTTATCATCCATTTACTTTTTGTAACTTTGTTAAAAAAACTTCCTATTTTTAATTTTTTTTAGATTTTATTAATTTTAATAGTTAAATTCCAAATTGTGAATACCAAGAACAGAATTTATAAATACATTTTTTATTTAAAGTAATTTTCCAAACAATTTATCTTTCTAAAAGCTTTTTACTTTTATCTTAAAACACAATCTTTTGTATATATGTCACATTAGACTATATAATATATAAGAAATAACGATACCTTCAAATACGCCATTGTGAGCAGCGGCAACAAAGTGAAGGGCACAAGGTACAATAAGGCAGGCTGTGCAGCTTTGAACACCTCAGAGCTTACAGTGGCGGTGAGTAGACCAAGAAAATAACCAATCAAAGAGCAATGAAAATAACTAATTCGGCTGAAGTGGCGCGGTGGTGGTACTCCAGTTTCACAGCCGCCGGGTAAAAGCTGAGTCTTTTTGTACGCATCGTATCGCAGAACAAAACAGAGCAATAGACCCGGCATGACAATATCGCCAAGGCCCAACATTGAAAAATGTCCCGCTTGATGTATCGATGGAAAAACTAATTTTCCAGGTAAAGGTAATTTCGGCGCAGCTCTCGCCACACCGCCTAAGTGTAATCTTCTAGCCACAAGACTTACTGGATTATCTGCAGGCCTAGTTGCTACCTATGATAGTAATAAAAAAAATAAATTATATATATTTTATATTATTATTATATATGTGATACTCTGTGCCGAAAATAATCTCTAATAGTACATACATAATAGTAGACACATTGTACAATTCCGTTTATTACTCTTATCTTACAATGCATCATCATAAAAAAAAATACTGCATGCAAAATGACATTATAAATTTATTTGAAAAGAATATGTACAATATGTTCTTTATTGTAAATAATGCCTTGATAAGATTTAACATTTAATAAAACTTACCTTAACCATTACATTTGTGCTGAATATGTAGGACGAAAAGAAAACCCAGAAGACATCATAAATCAGCAGTCCGGTTAATAACAATGTGGATACCTTGAGACTAGGTAATCGAACAAATGCAATAAACGCCACGCACAGGCCCATACCCATTGCATCCATCAGCAGCCAATGTCCAGTCAAAACCCAGATGCATACTATACTCACACTGAGCGAAAATGAGAGTAATTCCGCACCCGTAAATCTTCCACAGACACCGAAAGATATTTTGTTACCATCAGAACACGGTCTAATGATATACTGACACATGGGCAATAACAGAAACGCCAATGCAACTGTAGCTATAACTGCAAAAAAACAACAATAAATATAATAAATAATTTATGATGAAGTAGACCCATATCAAGTGCTTTACATCATTGGATGCTTTCCAATTGTCAAAAATCATTAGACACTTTTGTGCACACAGTGACACAAGTTGTGTTTCAATTACTATAATCGTCGACACAATACTACACATCCGATATAGTACTTAGCTTGAGAGCTACTAGTCGGCTAAGTAAGCTTGTCTTTTTTAGCGATAATTACATATTACTAATCGTAATAATTATGAGACTGGAAAAGTCTCGGGACCTCTGAACTGAAGAAATTAAATGGCCAATATTTTCGTCTTTTTTCATTCTATACAGGCGGAAAAACCTATATTTACTCTAATTCTATCTGAAACTGTGCACAATGTACACATTCTGTTCTAATAGAGTCGTGCACAATACTTTGTGAATTCTTGTATGAACATTTATATTAAGATGCATCAATGCAATTGAAAAGCATCCAATAATAATGCTTATTTCAAGTTAATGGTTTGTTATCAAACGTACTGGCAGTACAAATTGCAAGAAGCATCTGCATACTGTCAAAAAAGAAAAACATGATGAGTAGAGAAATGGAAGCACCGAGAGGTAGACAGAGAGCATGCATCGTATCGAGAGTCTGAACTCTTCCTCCATTAATGCAGTCCGGATTACCGGCGCTACTATTACTAGTAATCCCAGTCAATAAATTACTACGTTCCTTCTCCTTTTCTCTTTCCCTTGCCTCTTGCTCCATGTTTAGAGATCGGAAACTACCGTAAACTATCAGTAGAATTGATATTAGGAAAGTGGATATCCTAGATGAATCCATTATAGAATAAGCCCTGTAACGAGTCACAATAATATGATTGATATGTAACTAGCAAAAAAAACACACACACATACATACACACATACACACACACACATACATATATATATATATATATA